GCGTAGGGCTTGTCCGTAGGGGATGGCTTTTTAAATATGTTTAGGGTGGAAGCTGGAGAAGTGCAGTATTGTGAGGTTATCCGTGGGCTTGTGGTAGAGTGAGGTACAGAGGTGTCTGTCCCCGACAGAGATGCGTGTGTCCAAGAATGAGACTGATTCTGAAGAGTAGTCCATGGTAAATCTGATGGTGAGATGAAACTTGTTGATATCACTATGTAGTCGTTTCAGTGATTCATCGCCATGAGTCCAAAGAAAGAAAATGTCGCCAATGTCTGTGGTGTGTAGTGTTGGTCCTGTCCAGCAAATAAGTCTTGTTTGAACTTGTACATGAAAATGTTGGCATATTGGGCGCAAATCTGATCCCCATGGCAGTTCCGTGTGACTGGATGAAGAACTGGTTATTGAAGGTGAAGATGTTGATGTTGAGGATGAAGCAGATGAGTTGTAGAATGGTGTCTGGAAATTGACAGTTGTTGGTATTGAGTACTGAGTCTGTTGCAGCAATACCGTCATCGTGGGGGATGCTGGGGTAAGTGCCAAAATGTCCATTGTGATGATGAAAGTTCCTGGTTTGACTGGCCCGTGGGTGCTGAGTTTCTGTAAGAAATCTGTGGGCTTTAAGATGCCTTTGACATAGTCAGAGAGTTTCTCACACAGGGTCCCATTGCCTGATATGATGGGATGTCCAGGTGTGTATAGGCTTTGTATATCTTTGGAAGGCGGCAGAAGTCCCCTACATGGGAATTACATGGGATGAGTACATATGACTCCATAAACTCCTCAGTGTCTCAAAGTGTTGCAGTTTTCCAGTCCTGGCTCCTGGTCCTCCATGTGGTTCCCATTCAGAGGATTGCACCAAACAATGCTTCAATTGTCCAGCTTGGTTGTGACAAGCTGTAAATTCCAGTTGTTAATATGTGATCTCTGTGACCGTGTCAGACTAGCTTATCAAGGCAAAATCAAAATGTCCTTTGCAGGCTGAAGGTGGTGGAAATACGTATTGCTTTCCCATAAATGCTAAGGGTTAATTGGAACTTTTGGCAGAGAGATTGGTAGAGTTTTGTTAGATGAGGTTACTAAGCAATAGGGAGCTAAGGAATGTGAATGGAGTTAAAGGTATAGATCATTGAACTGAATGATGGTACAGGTCTTGAGGCTGAATGGCCTCCACCTATTGCTATATGGACGAGATTCAAGAAACCCAGTTTTTCCCAATCCACATCTTCTGAAATCAGCCTTTTGTCTTCCAATCACACATTGGCCTGAGTCTCAAGTATTTTTGGAAAAGGGTCAGTTTTGGTGGATTAGCGAGCTTTCACACTACATAGTCATGGAGATACACAGCACGGAAACAGACCCTTCAGTCCAACCTGTCTATGCCGACCAGATATCCTAAATTAATCTAGTCCCATTTGCCAGCAATTGGCCCATATCCCTTCCTATTCACATACTCATCCAGATGCCTTTTAAATGCTGTAGTTGTACCAGCTTCCACCACTTCCTCTGGCAGCTCATTCCATATACACAGCACCCTCTGTGTGAAAATGTTGCCCCTTAGGTCCCTTTTAAACCTTTTCCCTCTCACCTTAAACCTATACTCTCTAGCTTTACACTCCCCCACCCTGGGAAAAAGACTTATGGTATTCACCCTATCCATGTTCCTCATGATTTTATAAACCTCTTAAGGTCACCCCTCAGCCTCTGACGCTCCAGGGAAAACAGCCCCAGACTATTCAGCCTCCTCCTATAGCTCAAACCCTCCAACCCTGGCAACATCCTTGTAAATCTTTTCTGCACCCTTTCAAGTTTCACAACATCCTTCCTATAGCAGGGAGACCTGAATTGAATGCAGTATTTCAAAAGTGGCCTAACCAATGTCCTCTTACCAAACTGCATCTTACCAGACCAGCCTCATTAACTACCTACCCCAACCCAATGATGCTTCACTCACTCAATTCTAGCCCTTGATGTTCCCAGAACAACTTACTACTGCTAGTGTCTCCAGGAATAGACAGGCGTCCCTGGGAGCCTGTGCCATCTTTAAAATAGTGTTGTGCCCTGAGATGAGCATTGTCAGCAGAGCTGCCCTGCACAGTTCCTGACCTTTCGCCAAGATGTGACAGACAGAGAAAATTGATCAGGGACCTGGAGCTTCTGCTGGATGTTGGACACAGGAAGGCTTCCTCTTCCCCCAGAGTGGGGGTGACAAGACCACACCATGCCATCTCTGGCCCGAGGCTGCCACTGGGGTCAGTGTATTCCGGAAGTTTGCCCAGGAAGAAGGTCAGTGACCTTCCCCACCTAAGTGCCACATCTTCCCTCCGAGAGCTCGCACTCAGGCTGTCTTTGATACAGAACTCACCCCCACCAAAGCTCCACCAGTCTCACCAACGCTTGCAGCACCTTCTTCACTCAATCTCACCCGCCCCAACCCCTGACACCACCAACCCTGCGTGCCCTTTGCGATGCCCACTCACTTGTTTGGGACAGCTCCCCACCTGCTCTAAAGGTAAGGGCTGTGCCACCTCCTTTTCATCCTTCTTCAGACCTTTCCCATTCCAGTGGAAAAAAGAGCCCCCAGTAGGGCAGAAAGAGTCAAGCTGGATGGTGGGCTTCCTGACATTACCTTGTGGAGAAGAATGTGACTGACCACCCTAAGAGGCTGAATGACTGTATCCGAGCCCCTGGACTGGCATTGGAGACTGTCCTTGTCTTACTCTGCCAGGGCCTCTTGACTGAAACTGAAGACCACTGACAAATGACGGCATTATGTCTGCACTAAACAGCGAGCCTGCAAGGTGCAGAAAGGCAAGGCATGGAAGTTGTGAGCATTCAGGTAGGATCATCGGAGAGGCGATGACCTAGTGGTATTACCGCTGGACTGTTAATCCAGAGACTCAGATAACATTCTGGGGACCCAGTTCGAATCCCGCCATGGCAGATGGTGGAATTTGAATTCAATAAAATATCTGGCGTTATGAATCTAATGATGATCATGAACCGATTGTCAGGAAAAACTCGTCTGGTTCACTAGTGTCCTTTAGGGGAAGGAAACTGCCATCCTTACCTGGTCTGGCCTACATATGACTCCAGACCCACAGCAATGTGGTTGACTCTGAACTGCCCACTGGGCAATTAGTGATGGGCAATAAATGCTGCCTAGCCAGCGATGTCCTCATCCTGTTAATGAATAAAGGGAAAGACAAAGTGGGTGTGGGAGTGCTGAGACAGTGAATGAGGAGCCTGGAGATGAAGCCTGGTCCAGCTTAGGAACTGACAGTGTGTTTCTGAGCTCACAGTATTCTTGCTGCAGCTTTGCAAAGTGCCCTTACACCCAGAGGTACAGCATTGAAGTGTCCCATACATTGGAAATATGCCATTAGGGTTAGAATCACAGAGTCCCTACAGTATGGAAACAGCCATTCGGCCCTCTGAGTGCACACTGACCCCTCTGAAGGGCATCCCACCCCCCTACCCTATCCCTGTAACCCTGCGTTTCCCATCACTAACCCATCCAGCCTGCACATCCCTGGACACTATGGGTAATTTCCCATGGCCAATCCACACTAACCTGCACATCTTTGGACTCTGGGAGGAAACCGGAGCACCCATAGGAAACTCACATGAACATGAGGAGAGCACACAATCTCCACACAGACAGTTGCTCAAGAGTGTAATTGAACCCAGATTCCTGGTGCTGTGAGGCAGCAGTGCTAACTACTGAGTTACTGCACTGCCTCTTTATAAAGGCTGGCACACACCAATGGGTATGGATGTGGTATATGGCGTGGCCAGTGCCCGTGGAGCGCATCCGGAGAGATTTGTGCCTGATGTCCAACATGGAGCTCTTTAGAAGGAGCAGCAAGCTGAACGTGTCAGGAAATTGCTCGTGCTTTCACTTTGAGAATTCTCAGCCTCTGGTTTGCTCGGTGACTATGGTCAGATAGGAAGCTGTGTATGACTGACGTGAGGTGTGCAGTTTTATACGGTCATCATCAAGTAATTATCCCCCTGAACAGGCAGCTCGCCGTTGCCAGGCAGAAATAAGGCCTCAACTCTAGACCTTACTAAAAGAACATAGCAAGTTGCTCCCGATGTCAAGCCAGGCTTTGGTAGACTTCCCATGGGATTCTGCCACATTTCAAAACTTTGCCTACATCATTCAGGCCCTATAAGATTTACACATGATTGTATTTATAGCTCATTGGTACAACTTAATTAAATGGTAAATAAAAACCAAAAGAACTGCGGATGCTGTTCTGAGGAAGGGTCACCGGACCCGAAATGTTAACTCTGTTTTTTCCTTCACAGATGCTGCCAGACCTGCTGGGCTTTTCCAGCAACTTCGTTTTTGTTCCTGTGTTGGTTATTTATGTGTTCCCAGGTCTGTCTTGGTCATGTGTCTGTTCCCAGGTCTGTGTTGGTTATGTGTGTGTTCCTGGGTCTTGGCTGGTTATGTGTGTATTCCTGGGTCTGTGCTGGTTATGTGTGTGTTCCTGGGTCTGTGTTGG